TAGAAGACAGGCAATTTCCTTTCACATAAGCCATAATGACTCTGAAACATCACTCTGCATAAGGCCCCAAGAAATGTAACTGAGCCAGTCATTTAGGAAGGAAAGAACAAGTGAAGTGTAAAAGGAAACAGAAAGTGTTCTAGAATTAGATCTTCCAGACATTCAAATATGAATTTCTTTCTATTATAAAATAAATACCTGTCTTCTCCCCAGCCAAGAAAATCCATTTCTAATCATTGAAACCAGTTCAAAGTCCAGGCTTTTGGGGGATGTACATGGATTTCCATGGTCTCTTAGGTCTTGATGCAACTGTTTGAGGCCTGATAGCACATGATGCTTTCTACCATGAATCCTCTTCCCATACAAAACATCCAGTCCAAAATGATCAGAAAGGAACAGAGTAACTATTCTAAAATCAATGATTATGAAAACAGAAGGAGACCTTGAAGACTCTGCAGCAGTAACAGGAAATTCATACAAGGGAAGATGAAAGCAGTAAAATCAGTTTTTTGATTAGTACATCTGGCAACTTTGATTCTCTTTTCTGGGAGTTATGCCGGATTTCCTGGAAGGTTCCCCCTGTATCCTCATGGATAACAATGTATTCATGGATGTTTATGAAGTGAATACTGTAGCATATGGCCTTTTTGGATACTGACAGTTTGTACAGCATGCTTCCTGCCTAAGGGTTGTTTCCATGAATCCTAAGTCAGAGAACTGAAAGGCAAGATGTGAAGACACCTTAAAGTATGTTTCAACAGTTATCTCTTACTGTTGAAAGACAGAGCAGATGACTTCTCTACAAATTCTAAAATTTTAAACCCTTTATCAATTAAACTGTAGAACTAACACAAATGAGACAGAGATCGTTCCTTTCAGCAAATCTCTCCACTCTTGTTCCTCTCTCTCAGTGGTCCATTCTTATTCCAAATGGTATCTTTTATAACCCTTCCTACAAGTGGAAAAGGTCACTCACACTGGGCTTCTCTTTTTGCCAGTATTAAAGGCCCTTCATCCACACTTCAAGGTTGTCACTGACGATGACATAGCAAGTGCCATCAGCAAATGCCATCAGCTTTCCCTGCATGCAGTTCTTTCCACCTCCCACCCTCCTGCTGCTTCATAGTTTGGGATGTTAATGGCAGTTCCACACATCTATATATAGAATTGATTTTTATGTTTAACTAACTTGTTATAATAGAGAGATTCAGAATTCAATGTTTCCAACAATATTTAGAACATTTGTTTTTCTTAAGAAATTACGAGGTAAACAACAGCATATGCAGTCCATGATTCCTCAGGCATTGTCTTGATTTTCAGAGTCAGTGTAAAGAAAGTAAAGGAACATAATTCCAAGATGAAAAGATTGTTCATAAGCTGGAAATGGCTTCTGTTTCCATACTTAATGTCTGTGTGCATCCCGGTTTCTTAACTTTGTCACATGAGTACATATAGCTGAAAGTGTGTCTGAGGAGCATGCTCACCACTTGCTGAAACATTTTTCAAAGTAAAATTCTACCTCTGGAAACATGTGATACTAAATAAGCAAATAGGCAGCTCCTACAGAGCCCATAGGATCATTACCCATCATTGCCCATGAGCTCCCTTATGCCTTGTGATCCATTTTCCCTTTTAGAATTCTGGAAGTCTCAATTTCTCTTGATGTGTTTACATGTTTCATGAGAAACAATAGCTACAGATTCTTCGTCATCATCTTTCATTCTGATGTTAGGTTTTTTTTTTCCTCCTTTATCTTCATCATTCCAAATTATAATCACAATCCAATGATGAAATAGTAATGGCACCAGGGAGTGCTCAGCAGCACTGGTCTCCATGCAACAACTCTAGGACATATAATCAGAGGATTCCTCATAGAGAAATCATTACCAATGCCAGCATCTTCCCCCATCAGCGCTGTATGTTAAAACATTTTCTCAAGACCTGCATGCCCTGTTCCCCAGGGAATTAATGTACTGACTCTCAGGAATGTGTTGGATCTGTATGAGGGCTGTGAATTGGCCTGTATCATTTATATTAAGATTTATAGGGGAGGGGCTAGAGACATAGCTCAGCGGTTAAGAGCACTGGTTGCTTTTGCAGAGGACCAAGTTTGATTCCCGCACCCACATGGTGGCTAACAACTATCTGTAACTCCTATTCCAGGGGAATCTGATGCCTTCTTCTGACCTCCATGGGCATTGCACGACATGGGTGCGTCCACCTACATGTACACTCATACACATAAAATAAAATTTAAGAATAAAATATTAAATATATATATATATGAAAATAGAATTCCAGCTACCCATCAATGGCATTAACCTTCTATGATCTGGAGAGGGATGGGGAACAGAGATAAATTATCTGACAACATTATTAGTTTATACATAAATATGGAAGCAGTGAGGGATGAGCTAGATAATCCTACTTTTTTCAGCTTCTTTACACTAAAACTGAAGCTATTTTACTGTAAATTGCATTCTAAGAATATAAATATAATCAAATTTCTTTCTGCTTATTTAATTTTTAAAATGTGAACTTTTATCTGTGCCCTTACTATCAACGAAATTTTAAGTCCTTGATCTATTCATAACTACAGGACTTCCGTGAAGGAAGGCAAACACATTAAGAGAATATGTCATTTTAACCCGTTTGTCTTTCCTTCCTTCTAATCCTTTGACATCAAACCTTAAATAGTTTGATATTTGATATGAAGCCACTTTCTTCTCACATGTTTTTATACCTGAAGAGAATTTGAAGTTAGGCATTATAGCTTATTAATAGAGTGATTATCTAGTAGTAACAAGGTTCTAAGTTCAATTCCCAATGCTACAAGTAAAAAAAAATCAGTAATCTTGATATAATAAACATTCAAGCTGACGACGATGAACGATAGCTGCTTAAATATCTACAGAACCCACAGTGAGAGTAAACAGTGTACGATTCATCAACATGCTAACTTTTTTTGCTTTTTGTATGTTTTCTAAAGTATGACTGTTACTCGAAGCCACTCATTTTCTTGGCTTTTAAATTTCTTTTGAATAATTCATTATTGTGCTTCATAAACATAGAAAGTATCTTATGCCAAACTTTGCTCTAGAACATCAGTCTGGGACAGTGTTATTGCCATAAGAGAAAGTAAATATTGTAAATAAAGGAGAGTCAAATTCATAAATGTACAAATGGGAGACAGTTGCTGAAGAAATAAATATAGACTTTAGCATTTGTGTAATAATAATAAATACTATGGTAAATGCCAAGGGGAACAAGAAAGGTGGGTATGGGTGAATGCTGGTTTATGAAAACTGATCAGGAAAACCTCTTCTGAGTGACATGTAAGTGAGCTCTCAAGGAATGAGTACAGTCAAACATTTAGGAAAATCACATTCCAGGTAGTAGGAACAGCAATTAAAACACCTTGGGACAATAACATGTTTGGCACAGTCAGAGACCACCCCAGATCCCAGTGTGCTCTGAATTGAGTGAGCAAGAAAGAAAGTGGTTGAGTGAGGTCTAGAAATAACAGGAATATATTGTGTAGATAAAAAGATTTATAGGATGTGAGATGATGTCAATGTATTTTGAGTAGAGAACTTGAATGATTTAACTTATACCTATAAAAATTAGTTTGCTATGTGGAAAGCAGAACAGGAGAAAAGCAGGACACAGAAACCAGTTAGCAAGATAATTGGATTCATTTCAGTGAGAATTGGTGACAACCTTAACACTAGCTAGAGCTGTGGTCATGTTTAGGCATGTTTAGGTTCTGAATATATTTCACAAGTAAAACTGAAAGAATTTGCTGTTTACACTGAACATTAGATGTGAGTGAAAAAGAGAACTTCCTGCTTTTGCATGTAACACTAACATGTTTCCAGTGACAGTGATCAAAGAATATAAAAGGAACAGGTCTGGGATGGGAAGAAAATCTTTTTCTCTATTTGAATTTGGAAATGTCCATTCTGACATCCAAATGGCAGCTAGGCAATCACCTGAAAACAGAGACGGTGCTGAGGGTGAGATGTAACTTAGAAGTCTTAAGAACAGTGGGTATTCCAACCACACCACAGATGAGACTGCTTAAGAAGTTCGTAAGAATAGAAAAGAGACATTTTCTAATAAATCATTGACAGTAAATGCTTGGGGAGTGAGAAGGTAGAAAAATGAAGACATGAGCTAAGGCAGAACTCAGAGCAACTGAAGTGTTTGAAGGAGCAAAAAAGGACCAACAGTGTTACATGGTTTTTAGGGAAAACCAGGAGGAAATCTTATCATTGGCTTTGACCATGTCAAGACATGGACAGGAATGCTGTCAGTGCAGCAGTCAGAACAGCAGCCTAGCTTCAAAAGCAAGTGCTGCGAGTGCCCTTGAGAAGACTGAGCAGAGTCAGCTCTGCAAGGAATGTTGCTGGGAAAGTGTGCAGAGGAAGGGGTCGTTGCTGTGAAGAGGTGGTGCAAACAGAAATGAGATCTTAACGGTGGAAAATGGCATAGCAGGAACAGGTAAGAACGATTGTGAAGGAGGGACATTAGAGCCCTTTGAGAAGGGTCAGCCTTTTCGATAGGTATTGAAATATGGAAATATATTTGGCAAATATTGGGAAATCTATAGGTCAGGCAGAGATGTACATTTTTAAAAATAGTCAATATTAAAAGCCACACACTAGATTGACAATTTATATAGCACCTTTTCTTGAAAATAGACCCTTTACAGTTTTTCTTTTAACAAATTTCCAAGTATTAGGCTTATGTTTTAGGAGAATTTAATTTACCAAATTGGAAAGTAGAGGTAAAACAGTATTAAACAGTACAAAAATATCATAACAGTTCTAGTCAATAATCTGAACTTTTCTTATGGGTGTTTCTTCAGGGTTGTGTTTTATGCCTAGAGGTTCCTGGGATATTACCTTAGTATACATTTTTGCTTCAAAGTCCATGTGAGTTTCTGGGTTGATTCTCGTGATTATAGTAACACTGATTGCTGTCTAAATCTGTTGCAGTGTGGCGGAATACTATGACTATGGTCATGGAGTAAGTGAGGATGCCTATGACAGCTACGGTAAGACCTTCTCCTTACTATAGCTATGGGATCAGAACCTCCATCCGTCACTGACAACTCAGATTTACTTCTATACTTGTCCCTGGCCTCTGCCCCATTTACTCAGACATGAAGGCTACATTGATTTATGTCATTCCAGAGCAAGATTTGACTTATAGAACCAATGCCAGAAAATTGGACAGATCAATTTTGATCAAAATTTCAAAAGTAATTACACAATTATAGATCATCTTCAGCATCAGTGGTAGGTATTCTCAATAGAGTCCACGTGTTTTACCTTACACACTGTCATTAACTTGGTGACAATGCATGTTATTCTTTTCACCATAAAAATCATCAGAGTAATCGACATTTAAAGTATTTTGTGACTTGTAGAGGCAAATTTTTCTATTACAAAATGATTTTCCAAATTATTTTTCAAGCATGTGTGCATCCATGCTAGAACTTCAAATAGCATTTGGGTTGTAGGCATTAACAGCCAATAAGTACACTAATCTATAAAATTAATTTCAAAATGTATTATTTAATTAGAAAGTATCACTTAAAATTACTTATAATTATACTCAGTAAACACTTGTTGCATGTCTGTGATCTATCAACATAGTGAATCATTTCATGGTTAGTTTCTAGTTCTATAAAATGCAGTGTCAGCACTTGACCAGACCACATTGAAACGTGACATTTTAAATGCTTATAGTCTTGCATTTTTATTAGAATTATAACAAGGCATCTTATTCCTTTGATGGAAAATAAAGACATTGAATGTTGTCTGTGTGTTTGACACTACATATCATAAAGTGTAGATCTATGTCAAGATGGATGAAGGAAGGTACAGAATGGCACAGTGGAGGAAGGAAGGTGCAGATGATAAGGGTGGAAGAAGGAAGGTACAAATGATAAGAATGGATGAAGGAATGTATAGATGGTCAGGGTGGATGAAGGATGATGCAAATAGCCAGGGTGGATGAAGGTGGGCATGTGAAGGAAGGCACAGATATTAAAAGGAATGAAAGACATGAGGTTTCCTTGTAAACAGCCATAACTGAGTGCTACAGTGTCACATTTGGCAAGAGGGGAAAAAGAGACCACCACAGCCAAAGCCAAACATGAGCTGGTGGCCTTTATATAATTTCTTATGTATTTCTTCTCCATATTAGGTATATGTTAACACATTATCCTATTTTATGAGAACACTTAACAACAGAGTTGCAGTCCACGTAAGAGTATAGCCCTGAAACTTAATCCCTATTTTTATATTGGCAATCAATACTTGGAATGTGATTCAATCCTTCTTCCACATATGGAGTACTTATTATGGCTCTGAGCTAAGCAGTTCATATGAAGCCTAGAGATGATGCCAATGATCCTAATTAAAATATATAGGGATCTGGACGTTCAGCTCAGTGTTAGAGTGACTGCCCTGTGTGTGTGTGTGTGTGTGTGTGTGTGTGTGTGTGTGTGTGTGTTGTGTGTGGGTGTGTGTGTGTGTGTGATGTGTAGAAATAAAAGAAGGAGAGGAAGCTGGAGAAAATGGGGGAAGAAAAAAAGAGGGAAGGAATAAAAAAGAGGAGCGAGGGAAAGAAAATAAATTATAGACATATATTCCATACGATGGAATCTCCATTAGCATCCTCTAAGGAACAGTCTCATACCATCACTGGCATTTTATAGTCAAGGAACTAAGGCTGACAGTATGAAGTTACATGCCTCAGTAGAATAATTAATATGAATTAGAATCCAAAAGTGTATGATTTCATTTTTCAGAGGAAGGAGCTGTAATTTCAAGGGAAAATGTAGGATCTGGTATTTTTCATCTAAGTTTTGGTTAAAAAGAGGATTTTTCCGTTTGGTGATATTTCTCTCAATCCTGCCACATGCTATCCTGATGTTCCAAGGCAGGGAGGTCTTTTATACAATTTTATAAGAAAAAGATACAAAATGAACATGAAACTCACTCCCAAATTAAAACTCCAACAAAATGAAATTGATTTGGATGCTTTTGCGGTCAAAGATAGATATGTTCTCCAAAACAGATTAAACATATTTTAGAAACTACTTAAAATAACAAACGATGAACACATTTGCACAGGTCTGGTCCACTTGGTAAAATGCCATAGATAGTACAATTTTAATCTTGTTCCTTGAATATTTTGCATGCATTGGAAGGAGAGAGTGAAAGGTGTCATATGGAGCTTAATAAAAAGCACTAGTGTCCAAACCCAGATCTTGGCCAGTGTCACCAGTGGCCAGCCAAGCAGAGGCACAAGATGGCCCAGCTTTCCAGGGCTTTTGTACTCACCTCCAAGAGTTAAATAGGAATCAAGCCCTTTACCACATGATTTATGCAATTACTTAAGAGGGTGACGGTCGAATAAGATATAGTCCTAACTTCTTTTTACATTTTTATTGAATTTTTGCAGATTCTATTGTATTTAGAGCCCTTTCCCTATCTGTACCACTGTCAATATCCCCCACCTAATTTCATGTACCCTCTTTTATGTATATATGAAGATAATTCCTCATTAATATACATATATGAATATTACTCATCGATATTTGAATCTTACTTATACACATATCTTTCTATTCTATCAATAGATAGATGATAGATAGATAGATAGATAGATGATAGATAGATAGATGATAGATAGATAGATAGATAGATGTAGATAGATGATAGAAGATAGATGCTAGATACTAGACAGATACTGAGAGAGAGAGAGAGAGAGAGAGAGAGAGAGAGGTCTATGGAGTCAAACCTGTGTCCCCAAATGCTCTTTGGTTTGAGTTCATCCACTGGAGCCTAGTAAATTTATCCAGCACCACACTTTTAAAAAACTAACTCTCCCTTTCCCAACAGCCTTCAGTTACCAATAGTTCCTCAGCTAGGAACTAAAAGGTCAGCCGGGACCTTTTAAAAAACTGTGTTCTATGTGTTTGCAATATAGGCACTGCCAGACTCTAGGTATGTGATGGCCCACAAAATAGACTTCCCTGGCTTCTTCTGTTTCCTGTTGAGAAATAGACGGCTGCCTAAAAATTGCACCAGATTGTAATCTATGTGAGTTTAGAACGCAGAATTTAGAAATCAAGTATTCTAATTCTGTATAGTTATATACAAAGTTAAAAATGTTGCTCATTCAACAAATGTTTATTAAGTGGCTGACACATGGAAGTCATTGCTGTCAATTGTGAGAATATTGCAGTGAAAAAAAATCTCCTGAAGGTCACATTCTAACAAGAGGATTTATAGTTATTTATACATTGTTTTATAATTTTCATTATAGTCATTTTTTGCATTTGGTATATCAATTTGAGGAAAATTGTTCTCCTGAGCTTTCCTTTATCTAATCACATGCACTGGAATCAAAGTAGGATGCATTTGAGATTTTTCAGGAATTTTTGTGATGAAATTAAATTTCTGTTTCTCAGTCATACTTTGTAATGTTAGATACTGTGTAAGGCAATAAGGAAAATATGTAAATAGATATTTTTGTTTCTAAAACCTTCTAATCGTGATGCCTGGACTTTGTTATGGAGGGTAAGGCTATCTCTATAACGTCATGGGTCTTACATTATTCTTGTGTGGTTATCTTGTTCTCTAGCATCAACTTCAAGAGAGGAAAAAATTATTTTAATTTACATGTCGTAAACACTAGACTTTACTTTGGCTCAAATTTAATTTGCCAACATGTAGTCTTCTATGTGCAGAAAATAATCAATCATTTCTCTGTAATAAACTAGTAGGGGAAGTGTAGAAAATGATTTGACTGTCCAGACAGAATGAGGAAATAATATCAGGCAGCAATTTTTAACTAGTAATCTTATAATTACTCAAGAGAATATCATTCCAGTTAGTGGAAGATACAATATTCAAAGGTTAGATACATATATGCATAGACAGATTCTTTCTAATGCCAATGTCTTTCCTTTAGCTGCTAGAATCTGTTGCCCTTTTTACCATTTACATAAGCATAATTTCAAACATACATCTCATACTATAGACATTTTCCTTTCTCTTTGAGCATTTTGTATGTCGACCCACTATGCATTCAGATATGAAAAGTGTTTATTGATTTTCACAGAAAGACAATTATTTAGGACACTATTTAATTACTGTTTTATTGAGTGGGGGTAATATTCTGGAACTTAAAAGAATAAATCTGAACCCCAGCCAGGATGGATGTAAGACCATCCCACTGCCCCAGAATCCCCTAGGCTCACAGTGGTATATCTGAGTACACATTTAACCAGTGAACACAGAATTGAAAGTCTAAGTAAAACAATTTGAAGTATGTGCATCTGGAATTACTTTTATTCTTAAGAACTCTTTTCTTCCACAAGTGTTTAGCAGATACATAGACCAGATTAACGTGGAAAACACTTATTTATTCTTACTCTTAAAATTCTACATATGTGTTATGGAAAAAATGAATAAATGAAAAACATTTAAATCATGCTGAATTACGCTAGCACATTCATTCTTTGTAAATTTTTTAAACAAATAATTAATTGAGAATTTCATACATGCATATAAGTTGTTTTGATCAAATCCATGCCCACTCCCTCCCCTCCAACTCCTCCTATATCTCCCCATCACTTTTTTCTGATAACTTCATGTACTCTTTCTTCTTTGATTTTTTTTTTACTTTTATGGGGCTTTGGATACTCTAACTTTCCCCCCTCTGAAGAGTTATGCCTAAAATTTTTAAGGATTAGATAAAAGCTCCCAAATACTTTTGATATTTTCAGCCTTTGGAACAGAGTATGTTGCTAAGAGGCCCAAGGACATTTCGACTTTTAGCCAAGAAACTGGCTACTTTTCCTTGGGGTCTTTTTTACCTTAACTGCCTAGCCAATTCCTACCTCCTATTCTTATCACACCATCCTCTGAAGAGGTCACTCAAATTGCCAATAGAGAATCAGGACTCAGACCACTCTGGCTTCTTCCATCCTGAACAGGGACACATTAGTGAGGCAATTGGAGTACCCCTTCAGTG